AAAGTTAAAACAAATTCAAAGAAAAGAAAAAGTATGAGGACGGGGTATGTAAAAATATAAGACACTAAGAAATCTTAATTTTAATTTATTCGAATTGCGGGAAGCTAATAGTGTGGCGGCCGACAGCCTTGCCAAACATGGCGTTTCATTGGAGGAACCTTTTTTTAACTTTTGACAATGCTGCTGATTTTTGTGTGTCGTGTTATGCCCATGATAAGGCTGGCTCCATGATGCATCCGACCAAATTTTCTTAATGTAATTTAAGCTTCCTTTTGCACCAAAAAGGAAAAATGAAATATCTAGATGAATCGCAACGTTTGGAACTTCCTTTCTTACGGGTTAAATCTCATTTTGGTCCCTTTACTTTAATAAATAGTTCCTTTTTAGTCTTTCTACCTAAGAAAGCCTTTTTTAATCTAAAGTTTATTATTTGATTCATTTTCAATCTTTTTGTTATCTTTTTGCACACATAACTTGTTAGGCGATAGAAATTTCAAGGTAGATAAACTAAAAATGAACTAAAAAAAAGCCTATTGTGGTCTCTCCACTTTGTAAAAGGTCTACTTTTAGTTTTTTTATTTTCAAAAAAATCTCGTTTTATCCCCTTTACTTTGAAATTTGTATTATCTAAGAAAACTATTTTTTAGTCTTTAACGTTTATCATCCAACCCTTGTCTAATCTTTCTATTATCTTTTTGTATACATAGCATGTTTGAAAGTAGAAATTCCAAAGTAAAGAGAGTAACAATGGGTTTTTTAAAGTAGATAGTCTAAAAAGGACTAAAAATGTCCATTTTGGTCTCTCTATTTTAGAAAAAAAAAAAACCTTTTTATTCTCTTTATTTTGGAATTTTTATTATTTAACATGCTATGTATACAAAAAGATAATAGAGAAACTGAAAAAAGATCGAATAATAAACTTAAAGGATTAAAAAAGAGTTTTTTAAATAGATAAACTAAAAATAATTTTTTATTAAAATAAAAGGACCAAAATAAAGTCTTAACCCTTTTTTGTCTCCTCGACTCTACTTCCATCGAGCCAATAGGGATGGCAATGGGTCCCCACGAGGGCAAGGACTCCCTCCCCATCCCCATCCCCATCCCCATCCCCCTCAATGGTAGGTACGAGGATCTCCACGAGGATTTTTGATAGAGAGTCAAAAATAGCTTTTGTTCCTATACTCGCGGGGAATGATAGGTCCCCGCAGCTATTCGAAGTCCCCACCAAATAAAATTATCATCTATTTTGGTACTCTAAATCATAAGCATTAAAGCACAAAAACTATAGCTTCAAAAACTACAACTAATTGATACCTAGAGGCTAGAGTTGGAAAGCTTGAGAATCAGAGGCAAAACTATAAAGGAAGAAGGACAACCTAAGCTGAAGGTGAGCGGTGACCCGTGAGTGGAGTGGAGTGGAGTGGAGGCAACTCAAGCAATAGCTAGCCACTGTCGATTTCAAGGGTAGTGACGGCACGGTGAAAGCTTGAAGGTGAAGACTAAGAAGGATGACCCAGCCTTGGAGCTGGAGGTGAGTGGTGAGCAGTGAGCATTGCAGTGGTTGAACAGCACAATGGGTAGTGACGGCACGGTGAGATATTGATCTTAAAGGGAATCACAGATGAGATGAGGAGTTGAGGACAGAGGATTGAGCAAACAAAAAGAGCTACAGTGCAGAGCGACATAAGAGATTGGAAACTGGAGGACTGAGGAATCGTAAACGGCAAGCAAATCTGAAATCTTTGGCTTTGGATAGTCCTTCTAGGGTTATCAATTTAATTGGGCTGGGCAATTAGGAGGTTTAAGAAGATTGGATTCACAAAAAGAATGGGCTGGGTAAGACAATTTGGGTTTGGAAGATTGAAAAAAGAATGAGTTGTGAAATTTAGGTTGTATTGGTATTAGGTTAGTTAATTAAATTAGGTAAGTAAAAATTAATTGTTAATATATTTACAAAACAAATATATATAAATAAATTTATATTTTTTTTATTTTATACGATTCCCCACAAAATGGAGAAAATTTCTCACAAAATTTCATAGAAAAAAAAGTGCTTCCATCCCCGCCCTATGAGAACGAATATTCTTGGAATCTTCATCTCAATGATGAGGATCTCTGCGAAACTTCACAGGTCGTGGAGGAAATTGTTATCCTTATGAGCCAATGTAAAAACGAGTTAACAAAGAGAAGTAAAGGAGAATTAGGGCTCCAAAGATCAAAGATGGAGGTTAGCGAGAACAACATCAAAGATTCCAATTACAATAATAACACTACTAGTATGCTCGGACCTCATAGCTGGTTTGCATCCTCTCAGGGTATCAGTTTGACTCAACCTCCAACATTTCTTACTCTGATTAAATAAGCCTTATTTTTGGTGATTCTTGGATTTAGGTGGGATTTAATTGTGGCGCCTCTCTGAAGGATCCATCAAGCATTCAATTAGAAGTTTTGTCATTATCGTTTTGTTTTTAAAGAATTTTATGAAGTGTTTTTAAATATTTTTTTTGGCTTTGTCACTTATAAAAAGTGTCGACAAATGAAATTTAAGTTATAATTGGAAAAATTACATAAAATGTCGTGAATAACTTACTCTTAATGTTTTCCTTTTTATTTTTGTAATTAACAAATATTAAAAAATATCTATTTCTTAAAAAATAAAAAGAATACATATTCTTCAATTATCTCTTAGTTTAGTAAAAATTATCAAAATTAGAACTTAACTAATAATTCTAACTTCAAAAGAGAGTTTTTTAAATTTAACTTATTTATAATTGGATTAAGAAAATAACCATTATTATTAACCAAACATAACTTTAATTTCACAATCTCTATTTTTCATTGATTCGCTTTATATATTGCCCATATATATTTAAAAAATAGAAAACACTTTAGAAGGGTTAGGAAAACAAAGATATTATTATTAAAAGATTTTAATGTAACCAAAAAAATTTTTAATTTTAGTTTAGATTGCAAAAAAAATGTAATTTAGATATAAATAATGTTTAGATATTAAAATTAATAAAATAATTTTAATAAAATTTTTCTTTACATTAATTTATTAATGATATTTTGATAATTTTAATATTTAGATTGCATTTTTGTTTGTAAAGCCTACAGTAAAAAGTGTACTTGTATGCACTATATCCATTCGAATTTAATAAGTTTAATTTTGTTTTAATAAAATAAGAATATGATAATTAATTGATAAAATTTTATATATATTTATAATTAATCATTATTTAAATAAATATTTGTATTTAATATATGTTGTATCTTTTTAAAATAAAAAAATTAAATAAATATATTAAAAAACATTTTAAGAAAAAAAAAAGTTAAAAGTATTGTGTAATCAGGATTATATTAAACTGTATAATTATAATTATTGGATAGTGGTGACTTTTTGATATTAAGGGTTATCCTCTTATTTAATAGTTTTTATTTTACAGTATAATATAAGACAGATTATAAAATAAGAGATTCAAAAAATAAATACTTAGATTTAACTATTTTAAATTAAAAATTTGGGTATATAAAGTCCAATGAGGAAGTAATTATTATGAAATAATTCATGCGTGCAAGGAAGGAAAATAATAGTAACAATCTATTGGTTCAAAAAAAAAAAAATCTTAAGTAAAGTATTAAATTTGACTCTTATAAATGAAAAAAATTGAGTGAATGCTAAGAGGGAATTTAACTTGATTCAACTTTAAATTCATCCAAATTTAATATAAAATGTAACTTTTGATACTTGAGAATTGAAAAAAAAAAAATATAACTTTTAGATATATAAGATTAAAAAAAAAAAAAAAAAGAGGAAATAGTAATGTATTGAGAAGTAAGGGTGGGCATTTGGTTGGTTAACCGAAAACCAAACCAGAAAATTGAATTTGGTTTGAATGAATTGGTTTTGGTGAATTTTAAATTGGTTTTGGTGAAAAACCGATGAACTTTCTGTTCGGTGTTGGTCCGGAGGCCCAATAACCAAAAACCGAATAGGCCCTCCTGACTAACAGAACTAAGGCCCAGGTATTTTGGCCCAAAAAAAAAAAGGATAAAGTAAAAGAATCCTAAATGGCGTCACCGACACACCGCTGCTGCTCATTTTCGCTTTCCCTCTATCTGGAAAAATTCCTTCCAAAGCTCAAACCCTAAAGATCAATTTCCCTCCCAATGCTAAAATTCCAAAGATCAATTTCCCTCCATCCCCACCTAATATTTCATGGATTTTTATCAATTTTTCTCAGGTTTAATACCTTTTTTGGTCCCTTTACTATAGGGAAAAGCTCTTTTTTGGTCCTTGTACCGAAAAAATCTCTTTTTTGGTCATTGTACAGAAAAAATCTCTTTTTTTGTCCTTGTACCGAAAAAATCTCTTTTTTTGTCCTTGTACCGAAAAAATCTCTTTTTTTGTCCTTGTACCGAAAAAATCTCTTTTTTGGTCTTTACTATTCACAAATCCAACCCCTTTTTAGTCATTCTGTTAAATTTTGGCTGATGTGACAGGTTAATTAACGGAAACACTTATTCCTTTTTTTTTACTAAATTAGGTGGAAAATCCACATGGCAAAAATTGATAACATGTTAAATTTTTTACCTTTAATTATTGATATACCCTCATCTTCTTCCACGGCTTCTCCTTCCTCTAGCCTTTTTTTTTTTTTTCTTTTTTTTTCTTTTACCTCCAGGTGAACCCAAGAGCCTGGGTTCGCGAGGAACCTAGCTCACGGGTTTGCGACGAACCTAGGTCTTGGGTTCGCGACGAACCTAGGTCTTGGGTTCGCGACGTCCGTGCAATAGCCTTTCACCTAATTGTTTTCCTAAGAGCAACTAGCAACTCATTAAATGCAATTGAACCCGCGAGCAAACTAGAATCCCCATTATCAACGCCATTACTAGCTTCTAAAGCTTCAAGAATATAGATAACGCTAAACCCACCTGGTTTTTCCTAACCAAAGTAACGAGCACAGTACCATACACACTGGGATTCAAGTTAGTACCCAATTCTTCCATGTGATCAAGAATCTCAAGCGCAGAATCGAACCTACTAGACTGAATAAACGCATTGAGCAAGAACTTGAAAGTCTCAGAACCAACAACAACTCCATCTTCCTTCATCGAAACTAACAAATTTGGGATTTCCTCAAGGAACCCGGCGTTGCAGAGGGTACGGAACATGTGTGAGTAAGTGCTCGCAGTGTGTTTGAACTTTGGTCTGAGAGAGCAACACCATCGAAAAAAGTCCAACTTTTTGGAAGGGTCAACGGAATTCTTTCGAAGAATCTGGTTGCCCAAGGGCTCCGAGATGGGGGTGGAGTTGGGATCAAGGTTCCAAGTCCCGGATTCTGATAAGGTTTTGGTAAGCGAGGTGATAAGGAGGATATTGCCCAAGTGAGCTGATCGGTTTTTGAGAATAACAGAAGAGGATGAAGATAAGGTGGCTCCTCCATGGCGCATTACATTGCGAGCTAGGTTCCTCGCGAACCCAGGCTCTTGGGTTCGCCTGGAGGTAAAAGAAAAAAAAAGAAAAAAAAAAGCTGGAGGAAGGAGAAGTCGAGGAAAAAGATAAGGGTATATCAATAATTAAAGGTAAAAAAATTTAACATGTCATCAATTTTTGCCACGTGGATTTTCCACGTAATTTTGTTAAAAAAAAAAGAATGAGTGTTTCCGTTAATTAACCTACCATATCAACAAAAATTTAACGGAAGAACTAAAAAAGAATTGGATTTGTGAACAGTAAGGACCAAAAAGAAGATTTTTTCGGTATAGGGACCAAAAAAAGGCTTTTTCCTATAGTAGAGGGACCAAAAAGAATATTAAACCATTTTCTCATGTATAAAAGCTTTTACTCCTGTATTTTTTTTTTCATTCTCTTAAAAATCAATCTCCTTTTTTTACCTCTCTTTCTCCTTTCTCATCTAATCCTCTTCTCTAGTTATCATTACCGTCGCCTGGTGGTAGTCATAAGCCTTACATTCCCTTTGCTCTCGTCGGCATTGAAGGTGAAAAGCTTAGCCCTCATGCCGTCGGCAAAGCTTGGCCTTATTTCTGTGAAGAGGTAGCCCCACCGAGAGAAATAGGAGGAGAATCGCAAAGCTAGATTATGGAACAGGTACACTTCCAATATTTTAGATTGGTTCATATTATATTTTCAAGAAAAATTGTCAAATTTTGGCTTAAGTGAGAGATACTTGTGGAAATAGTTAAAAGGTTAACATTCGGTGAAAATTGAAACATAAAAAAGGACAATAAAAAATTTCAGTACCCCAAACCCAAAAAAAGAGATAATATTAGTATTGGTATTGGTTTTGAAATCAACACCAAAAAATTTCGGTTACTGAAATACCGAAACCGATATTTACCCACCCCTATTGAGAAGGGATGGAAAACCTACCGACAAAAGAGGGGAGCTGTCAACAGCTAACGGTTGGCGCCAAATGGCGGGACCCAATGGCTTTAACTTAATCAAAACAAATCCAAAAGCTATAATAATTGCCATTCTCTTAATAAGAGGAAGGTTTTTCCACCTTGCGTTACGCAGGCCAATGTATTTATTGTAATTTATTATTATTATTATATATTTTTAGTTAATTTAGTTTAATTTTTTAATTTTTAACATAAATTTAAATAAAAA